TATTCTTCTTTCTCAATTCACATCATACAATTTTTTATTTGGTCCACAAAAATAGATAGGCTTTGATTTACTATTTTAATAACAAAAATAAATATGCTAGTAATATTTAATCCTAATTTCTCTATGGTTTAGAAGGGCATAATATTCAAATTACTTCTACCATCTACAATGGTATAAGATATTATTTTATGCATAATAGAAACCTTAATTTCAATTTCTTTTGTCTCACTTTGTTTTATGTAGGTATCTATTTTTGCCGCTATCCTAATCTTAAGCCTTCTTTGGTTTTTCATGGAAATATAATTTTCTAATACCTTCCTAACCATTGAAAAATTTTTCAATAGTTGAGCAACTATAATAATAGCTTTTAACTTACTAAGATCATTCCATAAATTATATTCTTGTAAATTAGAATCTTCCATATCCTTGTATTGTTGAAGAACTTCAAACTTTGAAATTTTGAAATCCTCTCAACTATGATTATCTAGATTAATAATTGACTTGTATTCAACCTTGGGATTTTGAAAGGATAATTCTTCTATCAAGGGCTTAAATCTCACAAATTTAGCCATGTTACTTTGGATTCTCTTAATTGTGTCCCTCGTCACTTGTTCTAGATTTAAGAAGCAAGGTGGACTCTTGGTAGGACTATCCTTGTCTTCTTGATGAATGAATAAAGATGTGGTCTTAGATCTAGTCATTATTGCTAGAGTTGATACTGTATGTAGGTTCTTTTCTTTCAATTGATTTCTTTCAAAGATTATTAAATTTAATTTAGGAAAAACAATTTGATTGACATTTAATTGGATAGAATTTTATCTTAGTCAAATCTCACATCTTGAGATCATTGGCCTTGTCTTGGTTATTTCAAAGGATTTTGATCCTCACTAAGATTTAAAAGGAATATATCAAGAATTAGTTTATAGCCCACTTAGCTAATTTTAATTTTTCTTATTATTTTTATAGTCATAATACAAATTTTAGGGTCTTAGTTTCTTATTTATTAGAAGTTGTCATGCTTCCCTACAATTATCAAATGACTGTTGAGGATAATTACTAGATGGAGATTGTAAAAGAACCACTCTATCTAATTTTTTACAAAATTCTATGGAATAGTTACTACCACAATTTCCACACTCTATTTAGTTTTTAATCTAAAATTGACTAAAAAGGTGTCATTTATTATAAAATACATAAAATTCTACTTATTATCTTGTTTAATTTATTAGACCTTGGTTCTTAATTAAACCCTTGTTGCCCAGGATTATGCCATTGAAAGATTTGATCTTTACATGAGAGGATACATGGTCGGAAACATTGATTTTATGGAAGAATGAAATTATAAAATTTGGCCAAATGCCCTGATTGTCTACATTGAATTCACCATACTATTATTGTATGTCTTCTTGATTCAATGGGAAGTAAAAGAGGATTGGAGTTGGAATTTCTTGCTAATCTAGCTAATTGTTTCATCATCAACTTCATTTGATGAGAGATTTGGATTTGAAATTCTGATTGAGATGTTCTCATCACTTTTTGTAAATCTTCTTTTTACTTGTTAACTTCAATAGGATAGGACAAAGTCAATGAATGAGGTGAAAGTCTAATATATAAAGGTATTGGATAGGCTCTTAGATTTGTAGGAACTAATAGTAATTGTTCTTGTAATTGGAAGCTTGATGCATAAAGAGTCTTAGTATATATAGATATGAAGTTGGGGATATTGAGGTCTTCTTTATGCTATAGTCTTTTATGTTCTTTGTTGATTTGTTCTACTTCCTTTGCTACATATTTAGCTGCTATGAAGTCTTTAGGATGTGCATGGAGGATTTCTTTAAAGATTTTTTCTTTGGCAAATCCTTGAATGAAGAAATGCTTCAAAGTATTGTCAGTGAGTAAAGTTCTTATGAACCTTATCACCACTAATTCAAAATGCCAAATATACAATGTAATGTCTTCATCATTCCCTTATCTAAAAGAAGATAAAGCAGTTAAGGTCATGCTTTGCCCTACTTTAAGCTGAAATTATTCTAAAAAGGTACGTTGGATCATATTCCAACTTAAAAAGATGTTAGGAGAGTGGTTGCAATACCATTCGTATGCTCTTCCTTTTAATGTGGTTGGAAACCATACTAAGTAATAATATCCATCCATTGTCAAACACGTAGTGAGTGTTTCTATAAAATACTCTATGTGGGCCAAAAGGTCTTCATCCCTTGTACCTTTGAAGATGGAAATGTTAAGAGGCATAGGTGCCACACTAAGTCCTTTCGGAACTTGAATTGGTAAACCCCTTGGTTGAACCAAAGGATTAATTGGTATAAGTGGTGGTTCTTTCTTTCTTCTTCTATTTGGATTCATTCTCTTTGGTGAATGATGAGAATGAGTACTCCCTTGATCCGAACTACTCATATTATCTACCAAAGGTATAATTTGAACAATAGATTAAAATATTAGTTATAATAACAAAGAGTAAGAGAATGACCCTACAAGATTGTTCATTCTTCTGTTAAGAGGTGCCCGAGTTGTTGACCACAAATATCCCACGTGACACCAACCCCATCATTGCCAGTCCACCTGGCAACGACCCCTTGAGTGATAGTCCATCTGGCTCCAATCCTATTGTTGCCAGTCCACTTGGACAGAGATGTTAATTTTTTGTTTCCCATGTGCCCAATAGAAAGTACTCTTAGTGAGCAACAGATTAATTTAAGTTCCCCACGATAATGGGTTGGGACTGTGCCAGCAGGTCTTGTAAACATCAGCAAAGGGATGCGAGAGTTACTGGGAGTAAATACCCCGCCCCCCAACCTCAAGATAATGATGGGTGTGTATAAAGAAAATTAACATTGTTTCTGAGAGCACGTGGTTCCGAGTGAAAATTATTTTTATTGCTGGATGGGGCCATGTAATCCTCGCTGAACCCCTGATCGGCTAATTCCCGACGCGATGCTGGCATCGCCTGTTCCAACTAACTTTTAATGTTTGAAACCGTAAGTTATATAAATTGAACAGTGCCCGAGATACATTATTGTGGCCATGATTTGAAGTCGTGACGGTGTGAACAGAAAAAAGTGTAACCTAAGAACTGCAAAATATTAGGGTGAACATTTTTAGTGTGATTGGCCAGCTTGGACAAGATACATTTTTGAATTGAGTTATGGATCCACGAAGTACTCACAGAGTAAGGGATTGGGGAGCGTGCCTTGTGAGGCAAGTTCAAATGCAGATTTGGGACCCACTTCCCCCCTTCCTGCCCTTCCACAGAAGCTTCCAGGTGTAGGTAGTGGGTTGGACTTTGAGCCTTGAAAATAGTTCTAATCTCTGCAACAGACTTAAGACTGACCCCCTTCTCTATCCAGGCATGCCAGTCATTCTTGTGCTTTCTCCGGTAGTTGCTTGGATTCTGATTCAGATGGTGACTCAGGGGCAAGCACACATCTTTTCATCAAGTTCCACCGAAGAAATAAAAAATAATGAAACCGAATGAAATGAACACAAACTGCAAAGCACTAAAATAATGGCTTTGGATGGTGAAGAGTAGGCATTGGGCATGAAACCCAGGAATTAAGCTGGTATCGATAAACCCTCACGGATTTTGGTGCAGGCCCAAATCGCGGCTCCAAGAGTATTACTTTAGCGTTGATAAGGATTTCAAAGTATCCAAGCATTTATCAAGTGGCCACTTGACTTCTTTAGGAGTTTCCTATTCATTTGACATACATCCACAACGTCCACGACGTTCATTCCTTTTCGCATTTTCGTTTCCCGCCCACTTCGTCTGTTTGTCCTGTTCACATGGCGGCTCGATTCGGTCCACGCGGATTAGTTAGGGCTCGTGCTGGATGGGGAGCAAAGCCTTCGATCACGAGCCTTCCCGCATGCCTGTCGTCGTGAATGGAAAGGTTAGGGTCTCGAATTGTGGCGCTCAGGGCAAGCAGCCTGGTTGATGAGGATGCTTCCGTCCCAACAGCACCACACATGCGCACAGGTTATCTTTGTCATACCCGGCTTGCTTCCATAATTTTTAGTACTTACCGTCCTTTTTCGTTCCGAAGCAACCACATGAATTTGTGCGGGGACAGCGACAAAGAGCTCATGGATCCTTTTGCAAGACATGCTCGAGGAGGCTCTCCGAAGGGCCCCGCTAATGACGATGGCTTTCACCGCCGAAGTGTGTGGGAGCTTTCAATGGACGGGAATTCGCTGAAACTGCAGAAGATGTTCATGTCGACGATCATCAGCGTCTCTTTCATGTAGTCCCGTGGATCGTTGCAGCTGGTATAAGCTATTGAACTCAGTGCCATGAAGCAGGAAAGCAGCATCAGATCGACAACCAGGCAGGGAGGCAGACATTCAGAAGAAGGGAATCCGTGGATAGTATAATTCCCACTCTAGGAACATCCGATGCCGGAAATAACTTCGGGTTAACTCGACGTTTGTTGGCAGATAAAAAGAACGGCACAAAAGCGAACAGTTATTTGTCCGAAGTGAACTGGACCATAACTACAAACGCCAAAAGTGAAATTTAATTTCCTGTCACCAAGCACTTGAAGGGAAAGTTACTTTTATTTGACCTTTTCCAGGTGCTATTCTGGAATTACTAATAGTTGATCAACAGGTGATCACGCATCCAGTCAACCGCATTAAGTCACCGTCCCGTTATTGGTGGCGTTGTCATGGCTTTCCAATTTGAATCCCCCATCCGGCCTCGGTTGGGACGTCAACAGATCAAACAGCTCCAACGAAACAAGGGAATGGAAGTTGATGGAAATGGCATGGCTGCTTGTGGGTCTTCGTCCACCAGTGTTGGAGCGTTGCATCGCCCTCCCTCCAAAACGAACCACCGATGCTCGAAATTCCACGAAGATGCTCCCCGCAATCCTTACGCCATCATTCATCGAGTCTAGCTTGAACAGAGGAGCAAGGAGCGCTCCAGATTGGGAAATTCAGCAGCGGAACAAGAAAATGGCGAAAGAAGAGAGAAAAGTCCTGTCGAGGCAAGAGATCCGCCAGCAGAGTGGCAAACCCGGGCGAGGCTGGCCATCACGTATCTCTTCACTGGTAGACTAGATCTTCAACCGTGCCACAGGGATGCTGCTCAGCTGCCACTCTATTCTCGTTCCGACGATGGATCCTGTTCACGCGGTGCATCATTGATCCTAGTTTTGCGGAGTCCATCTGCCCTTCTTCCCCCCATCTGCGCCACACTCCCATCTGTCTCTCTCCTTTGCAGTGAGACCAGTCACTCCGCTCTCTTCAATTACTGGCCGTCAACGGTTGGAGCTCCAGCCGTGGCTCACTTCCCACCGAGAGGTCTGTTGGGTACCCGGTCTCTCACTTGTTTCTTGCTTGCACCTGTGTTGATAAGTAGGATGAGTGTACCTTCAGAACGCAAATTGCTTGAATTCGTTTGGTAGCGATTTGCATTTCGAAGTGAAGGTTGACGATCTGTTCGACGAGTTTGCGAGAGGAGCTTTGTGTTCGGGAGACTCGAATCTAATGCGACTCTAATGTAGCGTTGATGGTATGGAATGCTGGTGGTGTACAGGTGGATCAGTGCGGGATGCGGAAATGATTTTGCTGGCGAAAGCCTTGTTGTGGACCGATTACGTGGAAAACAGATTGGCGGAATTGGTGCGCGAGCGAAGTTATTCGGACCGCACGATCCGACTTTCGCGGATCTAGATTTTGGAACTGAGGGTTGTGTTGAGGAGTAAGATTAGGAAGTGACGACAAGGAGAAGGAGGAGGAAGAAGTTTGATGGCGTCGCCGAGGTCTGCTGCGACCGGTGGGCTTGGATTCCGCGGCGTCGGTAAGCAGGGTAATGCGGGGCGTGCTCCCAATGGGAGCAGCACAAACATTCCGGTAGGGATGCACCATGGTCGGAGAACTTCGAGTGGGAGATTCATGAATTTGTCCCGTGACGAGAGTGAACTAGGCGCCGTCACAGACAGTGAAATGGGATCCGATTTCCTTTACACGGTGCAGATCCCAGCCACGCCGGACCACCAGCTGATGACTGCGAATCCGTCCAGCCGCTCAGTCGATTCGGCTATTTCTGGGAAGGCAGAGCAGCAGTTCGTATCGAGCACCATTTTCACTGGAGGATTCAAGAGTGTCACTCGAGGTCACGTGATGGAGAAGATGATGGAAAGTGAAGGCAGCCATCCGCAGCTCGGAGGTGCCCGTGGTCCCATCTGCGCCATGGAGGGGTGCGACGGAAAATCCATGCGCGATGAGCGCGGCGACGAATTGTTCCCTTGTGAATGCAACTTCAGGATATGCCGAGATTGCTACGTTGACGCCCTGAACGGCAAAGGGCTTTGTCCCGGTTGTAAGGAGGAGTACAAGATTCCTGACGAACCTCCCACCCACACCGATGTTCGCCGCGATGACTTGCGGGCATTGCCTCCTCCCAACCATGACGATGTCACTTCCGGCAGAATGGACCGTCGACTGTCGCTCACGAAGCAGAAGCCTGGGCTGCTGATGGGTAACAATACTACGGATTTTGACCACGCTCGGTGGCTCTATCAGACCAAAGGAACCTACGGTTATGGTAATGCCGTGTGGCCCAAAGATGATGGCTACGGCGGCAACGACGGCGGGGGCGGGAAGGGCAACCCCACCAACAATGTGGGTGTGGTACCTGAATTCAATGACAAATCCCGTCGTCCTTTGTCGCGCAAAGTTCACATCTCAGCTGGGATTCTCTCACCTTACAGGTAATTGATTGTCTAATTTAACATGATCCTCTTCGATCGTCGGATCTGTTCGAACTCAAACGTGAACGCGACAGGACACCAGTACCTTGACGAGACTATCGTAATAAGTTACAAGAATTCTAAATTTTGTTGTCAGACCTAAAGCCTAGCATCTAGTCGTCGTGCCATTGACATGACACTGGCGGGTTATGTCCACCGTGTATATTTGGACACATACGGTACATGCATTTCGACTTTCTGCTGTCAGTTTTAAACATTGATCGAATTGAGTTGATTGCCTTGCAGGTTGCTAGTCGCCATTCGTATGGTAGTCCTTGGCATGTTTTTGGCATGGCGTGTTAGGCATCAGAACCAAGACGCCGTGTGGCTATGGGGAATGTCTGTTGTTTGCGAGATTTGGTTTGCTTTCTCCTGGATTTTGGATCAGCTGCCCAAGCTCTGCCCCATCAATCGCATGACGGATTTGAGTGTTTTGAAGGACAAGTTCGAGACACCTCGGCCGGAGAATCCTACTGGTCGGTCTGATTTGCCTGGTGTGGATGTATTCGTCTCAACAGCAGACCCCGAGAAGGAGCCTCCACTTACCACGGGTAACACTATTCTGTCGATACTTGCGTCTGAGTATCCTCTGGAGAAGCTTGCAATCTATCTTTCAGACGATGGAGGTGCGCTTCTATCGTTTGAGGCTTTAGCAGAGGCTGCTAGTTTTGCACGGATCTGGATTCCGTTTTGCCGGAAGCACAAAATTGAGCCCCGCAATCCCGAGACCTACTTTCTCTTGAAAGGAGATCCTACCAAGGGAAAGACCAGGCCTGATTTCGTGAAGGATAGGCGTCGTGTCAAGAGAGAGTACGATGAATTCAAAGTGCGTGTTAATGGACTTCCTGAAGCGATCCGACGTCGCTCAGATGCTTACAACTCGCATGAAGAAATTCGTGCAAAGCGATCACAGATTGAAACGGGAGCCGATCCTTCGGAACCTCTCAATGTGCCCAAGGCCACTTGGATGGCTGACGGCACTCACTGGCCTGGGACGTGGACACAGTCTGGGAAGGAGCATGGACGTGGAGACCACGCCGGTATCATTCAGGTCGACACTGCTGCCTCAAACTCTCGCAACAAAATGCATCTTTAACATTGGGTTGCTTGAAAGTTGTCATAGTCGATTTCTGACGGAAATCGTTTTGGGTATTTTGCAGGTAATGCTTGCCCCTCCTACCCACGAGCCTCTGATGGGTAGCGCAGACGAGGAGAATCTGATTGACACTACCGATGTTGACATTCGACTACCAATGCTTGTTTATGTGTCTCGTGAAAAGCGGCCCGGATATGACCATAACAAAAAAGCTGGAGCTATGAATGCCCTTGTGCGAACAAGTGCCGTCATGTCCAACGGACCCTTCATCCTCAATCTGGATTGTGATCATTACATTTTCAACTCCCTCGCTATCCGAGAAGCTATGTGCTTCTTCATGGACAAGGGCGGAGACCGTCTTGCGTACGTCCAGTTTCCTCAACGATTCGAGGGTGTGGATCCCAACGATCGATACGCCAACCACAACACTGTCTTCTTCGACGTGAACATGAGGGCTCTAGATGGACTCCAAGGTCCTGTCTATGTGGGAACTGGATGTGTTTTCAGAAGAATTGCGCTCTACGGTTTTGATCCTCCCAGGTCTCGCGAACACGGAGGATGCTTCGATTTCTTCTGTTGTTGCTGCGCTGGGAGCAAGAACAAGAATCAGATTATGCACACGAAGCGAGTAAACGAGGTGACAGGCCTGACTGAACACACTAGTGATGAGGACGACGATCTTGAGGCGTCAATGCTTCCCAAGAGATACGGTGCCTCTGTTGTGTTTGCCTCCTCGATTGCAGTTGCTGAGTTCCAAGGACGGCCGCTAGCCGATAAGGGTGTCCTAAATAGTCGCCCAGTCGGTGCGCTTACAGTTCCAAGGGAGCCTCTGGATGCCAGTACCGTCGCTGAGGCTATTAATGTAATCTCGTGCTTCTATGAGGATAAAACAGAGTGGGGTGGTCGTGTGGGATGGATTTACGGCTCCGTCACAGAAGATGTGGTCACTGGTTTCCGTATGCACAACCGTGGCTGGCGCTCAATCTATTGTGTCACCAAACGTGATGCCTTCAGGGGTACTGCTCCAATCAATCTGACGGATCGTTTGCATCAAGTAAGCAAAATTCACGCTACTGTTATCACCCGGGATCCTTCGCTGGAGATGTTACTCTCTGCAAACTGAAATTTCTAGTGCACTTGTGACTTCGAGGTTTCTAATCGTGATTTTCTTATTCTCGATTGCTACTTGTAGGTGCTACGGTGGGCTACGGGATCCGTGGAAATTTTTTTCTCTCGGAATAATGCGTTCTTTGCCTCTCCTCGGATGAAATTTCTTCAGCGAATCGCTTACCTCAACGTCGGCATTTACCCCTTCACCTCAATCTTCCTTTTGGTCTATTGCTTCCTTCCTGCACTTTCCCTCTTCACTGGTCAGTTCATCGTCCAAACCCTCAATCTTTCCTTCTTAGTCTACCTTCTCATCATCACCGTTACCCTCTGCATGCTCGCCATTCTCGAAGTGAAATGGTCGGGTATTACGCTCGAGGAGTGGTGGCGTAATGAGCAGTTCTGGGTCATTGGAGGTACCAGTGCCCACGTCGCTGCGGTTATTCAGGGTCTGCTCAAGGTCATGGCCGGAGTCGAGATTTCCTTCACTCTAACATCGAAGTCGGCTGGAGAGGACGAAGATGACATCTACGCAGATCTTTACGTAGTGAAGTGGACATCTCTCATGATTCCTCCCATCACTATCGGTCTCACCAACATCATCGCCATTGCTGTAGGCGTCTCCCGAACCATCTACAGCGAGATCCCCGAGTGGAGCAAGCTCATTGGAGGCGTGTTTTTCTCTCTGTGGGTGTTGTTCCATCTCTACCCCTTCGCCAAGGGTCTCATGGGCAAGGGGGGCAAGACGCCCACCATTATTTACGTCTGGGCCGGTTTGTTATCCGTCATCATATCCCTACTCTGGCTCTACATCAGTCCCTCTGCGAACAGGACAGCACAAGCTGGTGACGGCGGTGGCTTTCAGTTCCCCTGAACACTCCAAATTGGTGTTCATGTTACGCCAGCACATTCCCGATGTGCCGATCAATTTTTTGCCATGGCTTGGAGTGCTGGTGTCCGTCCTGTTGCAGAGCAAACGTCAACCACTATTCTCATTGGCAGCTGATGTGGCAGAGTGCCTTAAAGCTGTTGTTGCAGCTCTTTTCTTTCTGGAGGGATAGTAAGCACGTATATGTATAAGTGAGGAAGAAAGAGCCAGAAGAGATAAAGACGCTCTATATTCGCTCCACGTCGGTGTACAATAGCGAATCAACCATTCTTTTGATTTATGTAGAGTGAGAGAGAGTTGGAATCTGGTAATCTTTGAGGATATCTTCTTGCGCAGATAATGTAAGTTACACTGCTGCCTTTGGTGGTCTCCCTTTCAGATTGAGGCGAGCTCTAGGTCTGCGAGTTATGCGATCGTTGCGATGACATGAGAGGGAGAATGTGAGGGTTTAGCCGTCCCTCCTTTGCCGAATAAGATGTAGGCAAATTCCAAGTGAAAAAATTTCCTAGTTATCATAAACCCGACTCTCGTGTGGGCAGGGCCTTCTTGCATTGATTTGTTAGTCCGCTCATCACCACAATATTGCTCCGAGGAACCGGCGTTCTATAGCGGCATCTGCAGTGTCAAAGAAATCTTAGTCTCGTCAGACTGATGACATTGCGGATGGAAATCTTTGTAGCCTATATAATAAAATCCTAAAACAATCAGTTCTCAATGTCGTTCCAAGATTACTCTGTACACGATTGCGATAGACCTACTCGCTTTTTGTGATTACTCCTAGTTTTGTCGGCTTGAACACTCGGGACTTAGACTAAGCGTCCCGTTCATCTGACGGATGAATCGCGAACACTAAATTCAGTCTGCGGTGCTTTCCGTGAGCCGTGCTAGCCCGAGTTGCTCCCCCGCGGGCTGCCCCTCGAATATAAGGACCTAATATTTCTGATGTCAGCATCTTCCTCCACGGTGCCGTGCAGGTTCGCTCCTCTCCACTCTATCCCGTTCCGAAGTGGTTCTTTTCTTTTCTTTTCTTTTCTTTTATGTTTTTTTTTTTTTGGGGGGGGGGGTCTCCCCTTAGAGACCCTGTCGTTATGCCCTCCCGCGGCGTCAGGGTTTATTTTTTTCTACTTGGCTCGGTACAAAAATATGATCTGGTCGGCATGGGATCGTTGGTGCTGTGTGGGGCGTAGCTGAGTGGGCGATTGGAATGCTATGATGTTTCGAATTTCTTGGGTGTCAACGCACATAATTGGCGCGTGGTTTTGTAGTCCAATCGCCCAATTGTCCCCTCACGCTCCCTTGGTCGCTGCTCCTCGTGTTACTCTTGTGTTGCCAAATGCACACTGTCTAGAATGTTGTCAGTTGCTGGAAGTATCAGATCTGTCACCTTGACTCCCGCACTGCTCTGACTCCGCACTCCCATTTTGCAAGTGCGTTGTACATCGCAGACCTTCCCTCCGCTGCTGATCCCGCACTCGCCCAATTTTGATTTAATTCACATCTCACAGCACATTCACGACAACATTCACCAACTTCACGACAACATCTCAGCTCGTTGCGAAGCAACCATGAGTTGTCGGTCTTGCCACTGGTACGTTCTAAGGAGACTGATATGTTCATATTCGTTACATGAGTTATATTCACGATTCATGGGATTTAATGCTTCGGCACGAATCAAGCAAAGTACCCACCAGGAATGCCACCGAATGTGTTGTGCAGACATGACTGTTTTACTTTCTTAAGTCATTAAATTGATATAAATAGCATTCATAACCTAATGTAAATAATTTGTGTGTAACAGGTTTATAATGTGGTGTAGAAGAAATATATACCATTTTTTAAATAAAAGAAAATGGTGTCTTTCTTTGATTATTAGAACAAGATTTTCATGTGTTTTCATTTTCAACAGTACAAAAATCATAGAATAACAAATCTGTTTCTCATATTACATTGGAGAAGATTGCATGAAATGTTAAAATCATGTTTTAGGAAATGGGTATTTTTGTGAGAGCATCAAGAATACTGTAACATGCCAAAGTTGTAAATAGTAGGTAATTATTATTATTATTATTATTATATGTATCTTAAAAAAAATTACTACAAATTGAAAAAAAATTTAAAAAAATTTCTCTGTAGTCCAATTGTGATAATTTTTCATTTCTGTTTTTATTACTATTTCATATAAACTTATAATCATATTTTTTCTTGTGTTTTATGTTTCTTGATGGTTTTGATGACATTGCTATTTTATTTTTCAACAAAAAATAAACTTATACTTATAATATTATTTATTTTATTTTTATACATTTGTAATATGATTTAATATTTCTTCTACTTTTTAATAATATATTTTTAATATTTCCAAGACCAACCATATGTAAGGATAGAAATATATCATTGATTTAAAATCCTTCTTCTTGTCTTGTTGGTTATAAAGTATTTGTTTTTATTCAAGGCTCTAGGTGGAATTCAAGTGTGTCTTTGATTGTAGCAATTGTGACAACTTACATACTCTAAGAGCATGTAAAACATTTCTTAACATAACAAGTGATGGATGATGAACTGGATGTGTTTACCCAATTCTTATTGAGATCATTCCAAATATTACAGTACCTCAATTAAGTTCAATCTTAGTTCAAATTAAACATTTTAATATTTTAAAAAATAATTTAGAAAAATCTTATGTGGTACTTCAGAACAATGTTTATACAATAATATTTGATTTTTATGTAAGTATCAATGATTGTATAGTTTAGTAGATTACTAAAAATATTTTAATTGTCTATGGTCTTAAAGGAGGGAGTAATTTTCTTAATTTTTTTATTTGTCAATTAGTTTTATACCATCAATATTACTAAGGTAACTTTATTTTTATAATGATCATACTAGAGAGATTTAATGAATTGCATATGGTGCAATAGATGTTAAATTAATTTAAAACTCAAATAATGTAGATCCACAAAAAATTATATGATTAAAAAATTGGACATTTGCTTGATTGTAAAGTGATTTTAGTTTTAAATAAGTATTTTAAAGATTGATTTAAAAAATGGTTAAATAATTAAGAGAACTGTAGATAGTGGTTTAGAAATATTTTTAAATTTTTAGATAAATTAGGAATTGTAAAAATTAAATGAAAAATATTCAATAGTAAATATAGTAAAGATTGAATGAATATGAATTTTTAGAAGGTATACAAATTACACATTGTTATTATTATTATTATTTTTTTTATTAAGATTTGTGATAGTAAGTTGGATATTTTATTGTTTATTGATATTTACGTTCTATAATGAACCAATATGATAATTACTTATAAAAATTACATCCCCCACTCAATTATACCTTAAAACGGCTCTACTAACGCACCTATGCCGACCAAATCATACTTCATACAAAATAATACAAAATAAATGGTACTGAAACAACACGGAGTCAAGGGGAGCATCAGGACAAAGTGGAGAGGAGCGAAGCTGCAAGGAGAGAGGCTGACACTGGAAAATTAAGATTATAAAAACTTCAAGGGCAGCCCGTCGGAGGGCAGGGCAGGGCAGTGCATCTCGGGCAGGAATGATAAAGGAGGTTCATCCATGATGGATGGATGCGTGGATACATGGATGGGTGAACTTGGGACTATGAGCCTAGGTCCCTGGTTATTCAATCGAGTTAAACCCTAGCTTCGCCATCGCGCTATGACGCTCACATAACGCATTCGTTGCGCATTTCTTTCGAATGAAAACCTTGGTAGACATGGATGGGTGGGAGCAGGAGCGGCGAGCAGCCAAGCGTGTGTTTGAGTATTTGGAACACGACATCAAGCAACAAGATGAAAAACGGAGGTAGCGCTACTCCTTCGGTCGATTGCCAACAATCCTTCTGATTTTGTTTGAAAAGAAATGAACGGGAAGGTGGAATCATGCAGATGGCGTTTACGTTCACAAGAACGCACTAGGTGTTTCTTAATTGGCTTAAAAGATGTTGTTCTTGTTGAGCTTACGGTTTACAATTGTTGTTGCGTCGTAATCCAGGTGGATTTTGAGAAATTGGCCAGAACCCAGGGGTCGTGGTGATAAACAGTTTCGTACAAGCTCGATGGAGTAGGTCTAACCCACCACTCACGTTGAGTTTGCTTTCTAATTTGATTCATGGTTCTTTGGGCTGAATGAATTGTAATTGATGCTAAGAGTTGTGTCACCTGCTTCGTTGAATTTTGTGAACACCTATGTTATATTCAATGATTTGAAAGATGGTCAATGTTGCAGATGTGTACCTGAGTTGCTTCTACGTGAAAAGGAAGAATTGGTGAGCTACTATCTGGATTCCTCTTGTTCATCGATTATTCATTCTACCTGCGCTTAATTTTCTATTTATTTAATGTGTTTTTCGGGTCCTTAATACCGTACTTCTTCGTTGAATTTGGAGGTTGAGACGAGGTTATTCCCATCTAAGTAAGAGTAATTGGAAGTATCGTTGTAGTAGCGCATCCTAACAAAGGGCACGTACTGACGAAATTGCTGTTTTTCTATAGTCCTTGAGGAGTCTCAATGCTTTTGTTGGAAGGAGTCTTAGCATTTTATTAAAAAACAAGATGTTGCGGAAGAGGACTGTGAAAAAGAAACGCAGAATCGGAGATGCTCTCATGAGGCTGGATTCGAGCTCTATGAAAGTCCAACAGGACCTTTTGAGAATCACAGATGGTGCCGATGTTATTCCTAGCAATCCTCTGCGTATCGAAGAGGGTCTTTTGACAATTACACATGGTGGAAACCAGGCTAATGCCACAGTTGCGAGGAAAGAAAAGGAAGTATTTCACTCTAATCAGAAGCCGCGATCATCACAACTTTCCCTCCATCTGGAAAAGATGGATGACATGGAGGTTTTGACGTCTCTGCCTTGTGTCTTGGACACATTGAACCTTCATGCCTTGCAATCCATTCTGTCTATAATCACTGGTGTCACAACTAGAAACTTCAACAGGATTTGGTTGGAGGATCAGATAGTACAGACTGTAAATGACCTTATGAATGAGTGCGAGGACGAACTACCGGACGTCGTAATGCAAGCTATAGAAGTTATGCGAGACGAGATTTCAGCGCGCAGACGTATGTCATCTGGCATTTTGTTCGAATTGCCTCCATCTCCAATCCTAGCTATTCAATCAGCCCTTGATCAGGTGGAAAGTTTACCTCTTCGCACTTTACATGCCATGTATGATTTAATCAATGAGAGGCCAGTAGAAAAGGTTAGGTTAGCACAGTCACTCACTGGAGGAAATAGGGAACGACTTGCGAGATCTCTTAGAGCTACAACTGAATACTTGACAGATAATCTTGAGGAAGGTGACCCCTTGCCAGAACCTTTGAAGAAAGCCTTGCATGCAATGAGTTTATCAGCAAAGGAGCTGGATGGCAATGATGGAAACTTACTGTCAATAGTTGGCCCTCCCCCACCTGATGTTGAAGCTGTTCACAACAGGCTACTTTTAGCCCTCTCGCAGTTGAAGAAGCTTGGTTTTCACAGTTTGATATCACTTTCTAGTGTTGTGCATGAGGGCCCTGCTCAATCATTTTGTAAGTTGCATCCAGCATATTTACGCTCACATTTTCGACGGATCTTATTGGACTTCCTCCTTAGATGTGATGTTCCCGAAGTTCCAGCACTCATCCAGAAGATTATCGATGTCATAGCTGCTGAGGACGGCCAACCGACGATACCACCGGAAAAGTCTAAGAAATATCTAAAGAAACCCAAAAAGCCTGATAGGATATCAAAGAGGTCAATGTGGCAACAAGGGGAAAGAAATAGTGACGAGGTGGAGGCAGTGCTGCAAATTAGCAGTCACTTGGTGCAGATAGTTAGAGAAAAGGAGGAAGCTGAGGAACAAACTGCGAGTATGCTCATGAAAATTGAAAAAGATTCGGAGGCGCCTGGTGTACAGAACACAGATTCAAGAGATGAAGATGAGAGTCATCGTCTAGACGATGTAGCTGTTCGTACAGCAGCTGATGAAGCTGGATCATTGTGCTATTCTATTCTGGGACGGGGTTTAGAAGAACTTCTACCCCCTGAAGCAGCACCATTGCCGTACTATGTACAGAAGTACTTGCAAGGTGGTTCTTCTCCAATTGTGAGACAAGGTGCTCCCACTGTCTCCACAGTTTTTTCTTCCCTTAAACTCAAATCATTTGGTAGCGTTTTTGGTTGGTTTGTGCACTGGGCTTAGTGGCTGTGGATGTCTTCTTTTTGTTGCTGCTGAAGCAGTTGGAGAGAACGATGAGGAGAAAAGTGCTATTGATGAGGTGGATCTACTTATGAAGATTGCAGAGTCTCTGCCAGGCGTGTCAACCAGGTATGAGTTTTGGAGAGTGTTGTTTTTGCACTCCTTGATAAGGTTATGCATTCTCGAGTGCAACTGAACCTTCGTGCCTTGATATCTTCATGCAGGGAGACCTTAGGGGAACTTTGCATTTCTTTCTGAAAGCTTAACCAATAATTACATCACGGAATCCTGCAAACGGAAGTCCTTCAGCAGCAGATTGTCGAATGTATAGGCATGCTTATTTACTCTTATCATTAGTGTACGAAGTGTTCTGACGCGGTGTCAAAATTAAATCCGAAACCGAAAATGTGCAGGGCTCTGCAAAACATGAGAACTCGCTTGGCCTTGGTTTGAGCATGACATTGAGGATACTGGCTTCACGATCGGTTGTCATGCTTTGGCACATTGTGTTCTACGAAAGTGAGTGTAATTCTATTTGAGGTATTCCTCATTCCCGCCTAAATCTTCGGGAGTTACTGTTTTGCTTTGCTAAACTCGATGAAGCTCACGCGTCATTCAATGTCACTCGAATATTCATACGTCTTACCATTTTGTGTGTTCCCGTTTTTGCAGTCTGAAGAGAAGTTGCACGTCCTTGTAGGGATATTTTAAATGAGAATTAGCACAAATACGGTGATCTGATCTAGTAACTACGTTGCCAACGTTGTGTGCTGCATGGATGGGCTTTCTTATCTTCAGGTTTCTCATCTGCATCAAGTAGACTGATCAATCTGTTTGACAAGATATTTTTATCAGTAATAGTCTGACGCAGTTGTTCTAACGCACATTTGATTTAGTCTAGTACTATTTGCATTTTCACATTTCGTTAGATAACCGTAATTGGTCTTCCTTTATGTGGTATGAAATGCTGTTCTGTTTGCAAGAGCTTACTTGGCACTGGGTACCACTTTGGGTCATAAAATATGGTCTAAATTGCATCCCATACGAAAATGCGATGGTTTACTTACTACATGCGACGAAGTCACCATCTCACTGCTGAAGCATTGTGAACCTAGCGGTGGGACGCGCTGTTTTCTCCAGCACGTGTTTGAACTTGACTCACCATTCAACTTTTGTGTTTTGCAGGACGCACTGAACCTAAGTTCCGAAGGATATTGTCTGTAGCTTGCTTAGTTAGGCAGAACTGACTTGAGTATTTGTACTACATAATTATCAGCTAAGCAGTAGAGGCTGATGGAAGCTCACTCGATGAGTAAATAAGCACTTGTGAATTGCTACCGTATATGTACTTTTTGTAGCATCACAGGAAACTCAACATTTATGAATGACTTCATTTTACTACGTTCTACTGCGACAATTCTCATTTTCTCAGTTGAATATGCTGGCCCTTCTGCTTAAAAGCACCTAAGAGTTCACACGCTTCGAGAAAAGCTGTCCGCATGCAGTTGAATTTACATTTTGCCTTGCATGATTAGAGATAAGTGTCAAGGCGTGATTTAGAAAATATATTTATAGAAATAAGCTGTGTCATATTGACTCTTAATTATTCCCTCATCCTAACGATAAGGACCCTGGCAATTGCTCAAGGAGTAGAACCTTTGAGCAAGTTTGTCACGGTGCTCCGAGAGGTTAGTCAGCGATTCCGAATCATTGCCAGATTGTGGGCTTTCAATCATTGCCAGCTGTCAGTTTGTGGGCTTTCAATCAACCGATCTGTATCAAATACCAAAGGACCTTCTTACACCCATGGCCCCTTTGGACCGGATACAAGATGATAAACACTACCGCAAGGAAGTTAACCTTAAAAGGTGTAGGATTTATTATATTATATTAGCATAATTAGAAATGGGCATTATTTTTCCTCTTTTTATTTTGTAAAAATCATTGAGGATTTATTTTCACATGCAATACATTTGTAGAGTTAGTATCTAGTCAATCCAATTTTAACTTAAAATTGATTACATTCTAAATATCACAACCAAATAATGTTGACTAGATTAATCAAGGCTAAAATAGATATTTATATCTAATTTTTGTATATTATGATATTATTTTAACAGCAGCTTAATTATTATTGGTATTGTCACTACACACTTATAGATTTGTTTAAGTGAGTTAACATCATTCTTCCTTATCTCTAAATTTTTTAAATTTAATGACTCAAGATGTAAATATTTATATTTTTGAAGTAAGTTTTAACTTCAAGATAGACATTAAATGCTTATTTTAGAAGTATTATTTTTTTATCTCTTAATTGAATAATTGTTTGGAATTACTTTTAAGAGTTTTTTAACATTCAATTGAGAACTTATTAGGACTTATTTAATATATGAAATTATTAGAATATCAAAATTATACCAAAAATATGGCTTCGAGAAATTTTATGAATTATTTTAATATTTTAAAAAATTTATCTAAAAATTAAAAATAGGAGCAAATTGGAAGATGAAAAGAGATTAAAATAATCTCATTGTATTTTTAATTTTATAAGAACTATAGTAATGTTTTAATATAAACCAATGCTAGATAACTTAATTTTAATATATTTATAAGCATTTATAGTAATAGAAATGAATGTTGTTTTTTTTAACAATATTCTTTGTAGAATTTACTGAATATTAAATTTTTTTGTGAATTTTCTACTACTCCATTACTTCCTATTTTATATCTATGTTTATCTTGAGTTACAAATAAATATTAAAAAATTATCTAAGCATTATATGAATATCAAGAAATTATTCATTATTCTATTTAAATCAATTTCAAGAAAATCATCATTATTTAAATACTAATAATCAAAAGAAAGATCCAACAATCTTATTGTCTATATTTATTATTTACTTTGATAATTAGTTTATTTTTTTTTATACTTCTAATTGATATTATTTTTAAAGTTTGAACATGTTTAATTATTGTGATTAAAATCTTTGATATCCAATAATATATTAAATTACTAAGAAGTAATGTTAAGACTTATCAAATTATGTGTGTATACATATAAATAAATAAATAAATAAATAAATAAATATATATATATATATATATATATACATTAGAAAAGAGATCCACTTTACAAGCTAAAAAAATATTGAGGTCTAAAAGAATTATATCTAAAAATATTTATTATTAATAACCTATGATATTACACTGCTACTGCATATATTTTGAAGATTTGATATATTCTTGGTTGAATTTTTTAAAATATTTTTATTATAGTTTTCACCAAGTATTTAAAAAAAAAATCTTTACAACTAGATTAATGGATATTTTAACTAATTGAACAAGTTAAATATCAATTGTAATGTAGTATCAAGAACACAAATCACAAAGAACTATAAGGTTAATATATTCTTGTGACACTAATAAAGAATAGATAGTCATTTAAAGATAGTATAATATTAAGACTTGAATAACTATTGCATAAGGAAAGAAGACTAAAGACTCTTTAAAAAAAACTAAAAATAAATAAGATGTTGATAAAAGTAAAGAAGACTTTATTCTTGCCCTTAATATATATATTATCTAGTTATAAGCTACGTATCAACATTCAATAAGACTTGTCCAACTTATAAGACATGTGTCTAACTTCTAAGACAAGTTTTATATATGTAACACATAGTGAAATTCTATCACAAGTAACTAATATATATATATATATATATATATATATATATATAACATGTGGCCTACTTGTTGGCTAAGTTTTCAATCCATCTTTGCAAAGCTTCACCAAAAGATATTATTAAATCTACTTACTTCTATCTAACTCTTTTAAGTCTATGTAAATATGTATGTCGAAGACATTACTCTCTTTTCTAAATACAAGTTCCACAAGAAGTGGTGATCACATATTGAAGAAGTTGAAGATGAAACAAATTATATTTGTCACATATTTTGATCACATATTTTTTTCTCTTTAAATATAGTTGATAAGTATTTTTAACTATTAATAGTATCCTATAGAAGAGCTAGAAGACTTATCTAATATTTAATCATTGTTGAAGCCTCCATAATTTTTTTAAAATAAAATCTTAAAAATATCATTAGAAGTGGTTCCTACTTCTAATAATATTACCAAATATTAAGAATCTCTTTTAAGATCATGATACCAAATATATTATATCTTACTATTTATTTGAAAAAAAAATATTGTTCTTGATGAGCTTCATCATTTTTATGTCATCTTTAAAAGTGTCAAAATCTCAGTATCTTATCTAGTAGCTGTGTAAAAGATAGTTTTTTAAGTAAAAGATATTGATTGTTAATTCTTTTTCTACTTAGTGCCACAATTATAAAGAAGATATAAATAAAGATAGAATTGATATTGATAATATAAGAAATTTCTATCCTAAGAGTATTAACAAGCTTTTGAAAATCTACAATAGTTGTAAATTTATTCACACTTTTACTAAGTATAGCATCAATTATTTTTTTCTATTTTTATAACATATAATATTAACAAATATAAAATTAAATTAGAAGAAAATAATCTATAACCTCTAATATTAAATAAAAAATTTTATAATAAAAAATAATTTATTCTCGTTAATAAAAAAATCAATGTTAGAAAATAAAAATTATTAGTTTAAAGATTGTAGTCTACAACCTTTAAAGCATAATAAAAGAAGGAGAATTATTTATTTATTTCTAAAATAAAACAAAAATATTAAATTAATACTCTTGAAAAATTATTAAGAATATGACTTACAACAAACTAAAAGATTAATACATTCTTATGTTACGAGAAAAGAATAGATAATCATTCAAAGATGGAATAATATTAAGACTAAAATTGCTACTTTTGAAGATAAAAAGATTAAATATTCTTGATAAAAAACTAAGAATAGGAAAGATCTTTACAAAATTGAAGAAGGCTTCACTCTTATTTCTATATATACTATCTAATTGGAAGGTATGTGGTGACATTCTATATGATCTTTAACACATGTCCAACTTGCAACACATATGTCTAATTTATGAAACAAGTTTTACATGTGCTCCACATGACAAAATTTTACCACAAGCTACTAATATATGTAATATGTATCACAAACATACATATTTATTTAGATAAGAAATATTAGATAGAAGATAAATGTAAGTAGATTTGATATTATCTTATAGCAAAGCTACTTAGAAGCTTTATAAATACATATTGGACTTTATATATATTTATAGTTTATTGCTAGGTTAAAAACTTAGCCAACAAATTAATCATGTATTGTACATATGGATAGCTTATGGTACAAGCTAACAATATAGTATATATATATATATATATATATATATATATAGAAAATTTACTTTATAAGTTAAGGTACATATTGGAGGTCTTATAGAATGTTTCTATGTAATTCCTAATTAAATAGTATATATGGAGATAAGAGTGGAGCCTTCTTTATTCTTGTCAACACATTTTTAGTTTTTAATTTTATTTCAAGATCTTTTAATCTTCTTATTTTTAATAATTATTTTTATTTAATATAATATTAAAAAATCACTCAAAGATAGTATAATATTTTTAGAGTAAATCATGGAAGTACTATTATTATACACATAGAAGAAATTAACAATAAGATTTAGATTCTATGTCAAGAAATTATACAATTGAAAGAAGCAAGAAGATTAAGTTTATAATTAAATGCGAGAAGCCCTGTTTCTGTAAGTATGAAGGAGGCAAGGATAAGTATGCCACATTTGGAGAAAGTAATGAAGAAAGAATAATAGAGACCAAACTCCTATCTTTATAAGAAGGATTATGTTCAGCTACCATATATATTGTAAAATTTCAAAACCTTGCTTATAATATAGATTGGAATAACAAAGTCTTTAACAATCAAAATCAATATGGATTGCAAAACAATGTAAAAGATTTATTATTGACAATGTCAAGAGTAGACTCATTTGAATAATTTATTGCTTAATCCATTGCACGCAATAATCAATTCTTTGAAAGCTGCCAAGAATATAGGTTTAATTAGAAAGATACAAGTGAAGTCATGGCAATAATTTCTAAGTTTTTAGAAGCTTATTTATCAAGACCAAAACCTATGCAAATTGACATGGTACATTTCAAACTTCTTACTAAGCAAAAAAAGACTTGATATCATCAAAAAAGATTGTACACATACTGTAGAGAATCTAAGTACATTGCTTAATATTATCCAATAAAAAGAACATAATTACAAAATGAGGAGCATAGCTGCCAAAAAAGATGATGTATTAAAAAATAAGTTTCTTAAGCTATAATAAGGATCATGTGGCTAAAATATTATATAATATCTAATAAAGGTCCTATTCTTTCTTTAGATCCCTCACTTATTTTTTACAATAGAAGTTTGTTTAGAACTAAAAAAT